AACCACACATTTTTGCAAACAAATTTTCAAATTTATCTTTCCTTCATGTTCTCTCCTGTGTTAGAAAAATCAAGAAGGAACCTAATCTAAATGTTTAACAATGCAGACATTGTCAGGTCACGTTATAAGACAAATTTTTATTAAAAGATAAATATGATCTATTTTAGCTCATTTGGGATCATTTTAATTGGTTGTTACACCAATGATTCAGGGCTAAAAGAATCTAAGAAATTTAATACCATGAAACAAAATGAGTTTTAGATTTTTACCACCTAAGAAGTTAGATTTACCGCTATCTTCTTACAGTTAATTGTTAAATGTTATATTTAATGCCTAATTTTATATACTTAATATCAAGAAAAATAAGGCTAAGTAGGATATTTATCTTAGTTTAATCCAAATAAGGTCTTACCTGGGTTCCTTGACATGGTTGGAACTGGCTGGGAGCTGACAAGTTGGGTCATGTATGTCTCCTGAAAACTGTATTTTACCCACAGTGAATTGTAACAATTTGTTACTTTGGGGGTTGGATTCAGAACTTCTATAAGATGATAAACAATACCATCATGTTTTTTCTTCATGTTTTTTCCCTGTTGAAAAATATATTTTCAGAGAATTTCTCTCGTTTCTCAGTAGATAATTTGGTATATTAGATGAATATTGATGTTTTAACAACACAAGAAGCCTTTAGTCTATATATAAAAGGATTATGTATTTGGGCAGAACACAGTGATCTGTAAGGTCTTTTTCCACTTAGTTGGACATCTTTATAGGCTGCTTGGTCTTTAGATCTGCCACCCAACCCCACATACTCATCTTCCCTAAGTTTTTTTTTTTTTTTTGAGACCGAGCCTCAAGCTGTCCCCCTGGGTAGAGTGCTGTGGCATCACAGCTCACAGCAACCTCCAACTCCTGGGCTTAAGCAAGTCGCCTGCCTCAGCCTCCCAAGTAGCTGGGACCACAGGCGCCCGCCACAACGCCCGGCATTATTGTTGTTTTGGCAGGCCTGGGCTGGATTTGAACCCGCCACCTTAGGTGTACGTGGCTGGCACCTTAGCCACTTGAGGCACAGGTGCCGAGCTGTCCCCTTAGTTTTTCATCATCTTTCAATAACCACATTCTATCAGGGAAAGAGTCAAAATTGGTACACACAGAAAAAAAGGGACAGATCAGTGTGGCCATAAGAAAAATAGATCAAAACCTAGAAAGATGGGAAGGGGTAGAGGTGAATACAAGGTGATTGTCCTAATGTCCTCCTATGTGTGTTTCCTCCCTAGAACCATTGTTATAGTATGGCTTTAATCCTCCATCTATACACACAGTCCCTTTCTACAAACACTAATGGTTATTCTTCTGCTTCCTCCCCTTTTACTCCTAATATGGTATCACCAATCCAATAAGATGAAGAATTCAATTAAGAATTTCACTGTCTTCCTGGGCCTTTAATTCTCTAGACTTAAAGTTTGGCCACAGAGTTCAGCTTTCTTTTTTTGAGACAGAGTCTCACTTTGTCACCCTCAGTAGAGTGCCATGGCATCATAGCTCACAACAACCTCAAACTCTTGTGCTCCAGAGTTTCTCTTGCCTTAGCCTCCCAAGTAGCTGGGACTACAGGTGCCTGCCACAACGCCCACATATTTTTAGAGATGGGGTTGGTCTCGAATCTGTGAGCTCAGGCAGTCCATCTGCCTTGGCATCCCTAGTGCTGGGATTACAAGTATGAGCCACCTTGCCCAGCCAAATTTTGGCTTTTTATTCTAACTTCTAAATCTAAGCAGCTGGAAAGGAAAGGAATAGATAAGACCATAATGAGGGACTAAAGAAAATAATAGAGGAGGCCTTTAGGATCTTAAATCAGTTCTATCCAATAAAAATAAATGAATCACATATGTAGTTTTAAGTTTTATAAAAGTTACATTTAAAAAGTAAAAATTCACAGGTGAAACTAATTTTAGTGATACATTTCATTTAACCCAATATATTCCCAAATAAATCCAAATGTCATCATTTTGATATACAATCAATATGAATTTTTTTTTTTGAGACAGAGTCTTTGTCACCCTCAGTAGAGTGCTATGGCATCACAGCTCACAGCAACCTCAAACTCTTGGGCTCAAGCGATTCTCTTGCCTCAGCCTCCCAAGTAGCTGGGATAAAAATTTACTTATTAAATATTTTATATTCTTATAAGTTAAGCCTTAAAGATCTGGTAGGTATTTTGGAACACATCTCAATCCAAACTAGCTACATTTCAGATGCTCAGTAGTTAGTCACACGTGACCAGTGTCTACTGTACTCGACAGCCCAGTTTTAGAGGAATAAGCAAGAATGGAGAAGAAATGACTTTGAAAGAAAGGCAATAAATAGCTCGCTCAGGTATATAAATCAAAAGGAGAAAGATCATCAAGTAGAATTCTGACTCATCGTTTTTCTTTTTCTTTTTTTTTGAAGATAGAGTTTCAAGCTGTCACCCTTGGTAGAGTGCCATAGTGTCACAGCTCACAGCAACCTCAAACTCTTGCGCTCAAGTGATTCTCTTGCCTCAATCTTCCAAGTAGCTGGGACTACAGGTGCCTGCCATAACACCCAGCTATTTTTAGAAACAGGGTCTTGCTCTGGCTCAGGCTGGTCTCACAACTGTGAGCTTAGTCGATCCACCTGCCTTGGCCTTCCAGAGTGCTCAGATTACAGGCATGGTGGCCTCTATTAGGTATCTTATCATATTATTTCAATACATATTTATGAAAATTTTCACTTAATAAAATAATTTGTTTAAACTTTGTGGATTGTTCTGATAGAAAGTTTAAAATATATAGAAGTAACATTTTTCTCATTT